ACTCAGCTTTGGAATTTTGTGAGAAATAAGTATTTACAGATAGAAAGCTCCCTTGGTATCTCTCCAGGTTACCATGCTTAACCATCCCCTCCTCTGAGAACATGAGTACCCTGAATTTGATGGTTTACATCCTTATACACGGTTTACTCTATATTTATGTATCCATAAAAATATGGTACAGTTTTGTACATTTAACTGTATTATTGCTGTTATCTTGTAGGAATTTTCGTAAAGTTTGCGCTTTTTTGTTCAACATCGTTTTTGTGATATATCGATGTTGACACATAAAGCATTTTTGTATTTTTACTTTTATAATATTACTTTGCATGAATGTTATGTGAATAGGAACATTTTAATGCTTTTTTGCTATTTAAAATGATAAACAATAATGCAATAAACATTTTTGTAACTTTTACCTCTGATTTTTTAAACTCTATTTGAAAAAAAAAAAAGAATACTGTCATGGAGACATGCATAGAGACTTAATTGCCCTGTCTAAATTTTGTTTTAGAATAATGCAGGGGTGAGTAGCAAAAGTAAGACTGTGTGGCTATAGTTACAATTGAGGAGACACAGTCTAAGCCTAAAACCAACTCATGTTCTGTGTACACCACAATTTTCAGTTGATACACCAGGATCAATTATTACATCTTGAAATCTCACCTATTAACAAACTGGCTATTACTAATGATACTCCTTTCCTGAACCAGACCTGAATTTCTGAGGTCTGCAGAATTTTTAATGGGTTAAAAAAAAACTGGCAGCAACCAATGTATTGGGTTGACAGAGATGTGCTCTGAATACAGCAAGTTTTGTCACTATAGAAATAGAAACAGTGCCCTAAAAATGTAAAAAAAAATACATCAAAATGACTTTTCTTGTATGAAGCACACTCTGGGAGAGGGAGTGAAATTTTCGTTGACTTCATGCCTGTCTATTCTGAAGCACTCTCTTTATGGGTGGGAATGGGCAAAGGATGGCCAGGTGCTTGATTTACATTTAAAATCTTTATCGTCTGTTTAAAATGGCTTATTAAAACAGTTCCATGTCTACAATGAAATGAGATTATTTTGATAAATCATGCTCTGTTCTGGAGTCCCAGCATTCTGAAGAATTTGTTCTATTGTGTTGATATCAGAGCTGGTTTTAGTACTACCAATGGTAAAAACATCAGCAGAGATTTGGGAGATATTCCTGGTATACTAGTTAAGAGACAAAGTTTTAGCCTTGACTCCTCCTCTGACTATGAACTAAAAAAGTCACTTCAGCCCGCGGACACTTCGACATGGAGCTGCCCTAAGTCAGTGCTTTGCAATTATTTTATATTGATCCTATGAAATGGTAAATAAATTTGGTGTGTTGAAACTAAAATTTTTCAAAAATTAGGGAAAAGAAAAAAATATTTTGGGTGCAATGTATACACTAAGGGTAAATATTATAATATTTTTGTTACAGATGGGTGTGTGTGTATGACTGCTGTGAGATATTATGTGAAATAAGCATATTTTTCTTTTTTTGTACATTGAGGTATTTTTGATAAGGATTATGTATACCTACAATATACAATTTGATGGTGTAATATACATATACATTGTTAAATAATTACCATAGTCAAATTAATTACTATACCATCACCTCAGATAGTTATCACTTTCTTTGTGTATGTTTGTGTGTGTGGTGAGAACATTTACAATCTACGCTGTTAGCAAATTTCAAATACATAACAAAGTATTGTTAATTGTAGTTGTTATGCATCAGCTCTCCAGAACACATGTGATGTCTTCATCTTGTGTTAAAGAAAACTTCCTATTCTGTATTGCTTTCAAAAACCTTTGAAAGTCATTTGTAGAAGCCTGACTTCAGAAAGAAGCTCAGGGGCTTTCCAGAAGGGGTTAAGTCCCTGTTTAAAGCACCAGTTGCCAGCATTTTCTAGGACGAAGGCCTGATTCCCCAGCATAGCAGAACAGGATTATCCTTCATAAATATTGCCCCAGGACTGTACACTCCAAGGACATTGTGAACTACACGCTCCCTGTTTCTACAGTACTGGCTCATGCCTTGCGCCTTTGCTATTTTCCCCTCAGCCTCAAACGTTCTTAGTAGACATGAAGCATTATCTTTGCTAGATGCTCTCCCACCCCCACCTGTTCTTGTAGAATTGTCCAATGCTTCCCTCTCTTCACAAATCTTTACTGAGTTATGTCATATCCTGCGGTATACTTTCCTGCACTTAATAATAGTTTAAATATCCATCCTACTCTACTAGACTATGGAAATTTTGAAGTCAGGTCTTTATATCATAAGAATTTAGGTTCTTCAGAATATAATGAACTGTTTTACCATGATGCCAAAAAAAAAAAAAGAATTTAAGTTATTTTATTTTCTCATGAATATTCTTTGTTCCTCATTGCTCTTAAAATCACTGTATTATTTAAAAACAATACTTGCTCATTTAAAATTATATGAAAAGGCAGTTGAAACATTACACTAAGCAGCCTAAAGATGGCCACTGTTAATATCTAAACTAATGTTTCATTCTGCCTATATACATATGCCAAGAGAAGCCAACATATATACAGGCATGCATGTGCACACATATATACACGTTACACAGATAAATTCATTCATTAATCTGACCAGTTCTTCTTTTCAGCAATGTCAAGGACACTTTCTATGTCACTGATATACCTTCACATAATTTTTAATGGCTGCTTATAATTCTAATTCATGGCTTCTCCTGGGTTTGTTTTGGTTGCCATTTATCAACATTAAAAGCAGTGATGGTGGACTTGACTTCTTATTTCTTGCATACCATGACTATAAATTAAAAAGCAGCATTATTGTCCTTACCTTCTTTGATCAGCCACCAGCTCTGGGCTGATTTTATAACTCCCTTCAAGGCATTCCATATTTGGCTTCCCTCCCTTTATCTTGAGGCTATTTTGGGTTGTATCCCGTTAAAATTCCTGTATATCAGAGAACCTTCTACCTTGCAATGTGATGTCATCACTCAAACTTTCTCTTTAGTACGAGAATCATCTGTACTTAAATAGTAAAGATTTGACTTTTGACAACTTTCCCTTTTAGAAACAAATTCAGTGGAATCATGCATATATTTCATATGAGCATTTTGAATGTCACTTTCCTAAACCAGAGTATATATCTGAATTGTACTCAACCTTTCTCTATTTTGTGGTCATAAAATCCAAGATGAGATGATTATTTTCAATGGAAATCTCCACTTTACCAACCACTTCTGCTCTTAGATATAGATCGTTTGTATAGTTCATTGGGATACTTCCTCTATTCTCTGGAGCTAAAGTCACAAACTAAAACTATTCAGATATATCATTTTTCTAAACTGCAACATTGGGTACAAATTTGAACAAGTACAAAGCCTCATTACTACTAAAATTCAATTATGTCAGTTTTTGTGAACCTGTAAGGAATATGTCATCTGTTTCTTCAACGAAACTTGATAATGTAGGTGTAGTCCATTGTATTTTCTTCTGTTTTTAGCCTCAGTTAAAGCTCTTAGAAATTTCTCTCTCAATTTATGGATTCAACAGTAGAGGGTATTTTCGTACTATGCAGTAGTAACCCAACCATTTCCTTAGAAAATTGTTTTGTTTCTATCACTGTAATCTTGAATCCCATCTCACCAAATCTCAGGGATATTTGTGTCATAATGTGCATTGCATCCAGTTTTCATATAAAATGTATGCCATTCATTACCTATGCTTTAGTTATTAGTATGTAGAAATCCAAGAAAGCAGTGTCATTTCCTGCTTATTACCTCATACTGTTTATAGTCTCATGTGTTTCTTCTTTCCATGTCATATCTGTGCTTCTTTATGGCAGTCATTCTCAAGCAGGATATATTTTTCTGTCAGGAGACATTGGCAGTGTCTGAAGGCAGTTTATACTGTACCTTGGGAAAGCTACTACTGGCATGTGAATGGTGGAGGTCAAGGAGGCTATGAAACATCCTTTAATGCACAGTATGGTGTTCCTCCCAGCAAAATACTACCTGATTCAAGAAGTTAATAGTGCCGAGTTCAAGGAAACTTGCTGTGTAGCAACTGACTTCATGTACTTTATTTGAACTTTCAGATTTCTCCCACCCCTGAGATGTTCAATTTAATAGAATCTCTTGATTCAGAATAGGTACTCAATGGCAAAAAAAAAAAAAAAAAAAAAAAAAAAAAAAAAAAAAAAAA